TTTGGTTGGGTCAAAAATTCCAATTAGGTTCAACTAAATGTTTAAATAAAATGGCTCCTTAATTACCTATACAGAAGGTCTTTGAATAATGTTGTTTTGTTTGACATGGCTCCATTATAATGTTGATGAGAGGGAAAAGGTAATTCCTTGCCAAGGCCACTATCTGTGTGGAGTTTGCACTTTCTCCATGTCTTCATAGGTTTCCTCCCACATCCAGAAGATGAGCGCATGAGGTGAGCTGGAGTGTCTAAATGGTCCCAGTCTGAATGAATGTGGTGGCTGTGAGTGCACGCTGTGATGGAAGGTTGTCCCATCCAGAGAGGGCTCCCGCCTTGTGCTCTGAGCTGCTGGGATAGGCTCTGGTCACCCAGAACTGTCATAAGCGGTTTGGAAAAATCATTGTTTTACTTGTTTTTATTAATCTTCCTTAAATGTATATATAGTTTACATTTATTTTAATGTTCAATATTAGAAGTATTTTAGGTCTTCATTTGGAGGCTTGGTGATGTTTTTGTGACCACAAATATGCCACAGGAATTTAACCCATTTATATGTGTTAAATATGTTTTTCGCCTATGGTGAAAGTAATTTTGTTATAGAATCTACTGATATCGATAATGAGGACTTAACTGTAAAATGACACAAAGAAGTTGTGGCTGATTAGAATATATAGCATAGAGCAAAGAGCTAGATACATTTAAAAACTGGATCTAGAACTCTTTTATTCTAAGGGTTTAAACTGGACTTACAAGATTCAAAGATAAGCAAAAATCAACTTCTGTGCCATTAAGATATGAAAAATGAGTCTTGCGATAATACAGTAGTAATTCTGGGCCTATTCCAAATTTTCAAAACCTGTCACAATACACATTCTTCACTAATCAACCAATTTGAAGTGCAACTGAGAAGAAAGGAAGTTCTCAGAAAAAGGGCTCATGGACATAGACAACAGTGTGGTGACTGAGGTGGGGAAGGGTTTATAAGAAGACTAAATGGTAATAGAAAAAATACAATTAAACAGTTTAACAAATAAAGGGGAGGAAAGGAAGGTGATTTGGAGGTTACAATTATTTCAGGAATCCTGTCTTGCTCAGATGGAGATCTGGGGTTGGAATTGTGTGGTTTTTGTGAACCTTACCTGAATAAATATTAGATATAATTTGACATCTACACTTATCCCAACATTGGAGAGAATTAGAGTTATTTTTCATTCATTTAGTAAAATCTACATGGAACTGCATGACCCACATTTTCCCTTGACTGGAAAAAAATGCATGGCAACTCTAAGGAAGAGACATGACCTATCAAGGCCTGTTGTTGGGCAAGGCCAGTGGTGTTGGAATAAAGGAAATGCACATAAAAGCCCAGGTCCTACAACTTTGGAGGTAGATGGTGCTGCTGAGGTCACTGGGTCTGTGTGTTACTGGACAGGGATCGGCCTGGAGCAGGGTCTGCCTCATGCCTGCAGTGTGTGGGTTCTTGACTTCGTGTAGGAAAGGTTCCACAAGTCCAGATGATTATGAGAGTATTTATTAAAAATGGGGACAGTGAAACAAAGGAAGAACTTAGGGTAGAGGAAGTAATAGGAGAGCCTAGGCAGTGCTCTGCTTTGGGTCCCTAGAAAAGTTGTAGGAAAGGAGTGAGCCAAGGTGGGGCTGCTGTTAACTCTCTGGGCAGTGAAGGTCACAGAGACAGAATGAACCAAGGCAGGGCCGCTTTAGGCTGACAGGGGAGTCAGAGAAAGGGGGCCTTGGAGATAGGGTCAAGGCGGTAAGCCCCCATGTTAGGGGAAGGGGCATTGGCATGCTCTAGGGCAAGCCTGTCCTGAGTCTTTATCCTAAGGGCTTTTAATCTTTTTTTTCTGTGGGTGGAAATCTTAGCAGAGGGTTTCAGAGAAATATTCATCAGCTTTCCAGGTGCATTTTAAATATGCTGATGTGTCAAAATGAGTGCATAGGAGGGGTTTGGGAATAATCTTTGGTCTGCCATACTGTTTTACTTTATCTTGGGTCTGTCTGGCTTTTAATGGGTTTTTTGTTATTTATTTCTCTGACGTCCTCTGTCCTTGGGTTTAGCTGGCAGGAATGATGATAATTGGGTCTCCATTCTCTATTTCCCAGGCCAGGGTGATTTAAGCTATGTATTCTTTGGTTAGGGAGCAGAGGTATAAACCATTTGCTCTGGTTTTGGTAAACCTTACCTGAATAATCATTAGATATAATTTGACATCTAAGCTTGCATTTCACCAGCTGGCTGTATGTTGCTCAAACTCTTTTTGACCTTGTTCAATTTTCTTGTCTCAATTTCCCCATTCCACTTGCCCAGGAATTTTCCTAGCTTCTTACTATCTTGTCACATGTGGACTGCCACTGTGTGCAGGGGTTTCTGCAGGTCTGAGGATCTTCCTTGGAGACAGCTGCAGAGAATACAGAGTGGGACTCCAGGCACCCAACATTTCTGCAATCAGGGAGGGCCCATCTGATTAGCAAATTTGGGTCCTGCACAAGACTTTGTATGAAAAAAAGACTTCACTGTCTGGCACAACAATGTTTAAAAAATATTGTAGTCAGGGTCCTCTTTCCCCTGTCCCTATTCCAGTAATATTGCATAATTATGAGAAGGAATGGCTAAGGATGGATGCTCATGAGCTAGTCTCATGCACAAATGTATTTTTTTCAACAAATATTTAAGAAGCTCCTGTTAAGTAGCAGCTAAAGCACTTTGCCAATATTTCAGAGTGGCTAGAATGAGGCACATGGCAACTGGAAAGTGAATACCGATTCTCTTGTCAGTTGGAATGAAATGATTTGATAACAGTTTGCACATAATAAATTTTATTTTTCTTTTTATAATAACTTTTTAATAGGCTCAGCATATATTCCAAATAGAATGATCAAGAAATGACAAGCTTTCCCTTTCCACCCACATTACAGAACTAGATATAGGCATCCGAATGATAAGCTAACCATTTGCGATTTCATTTCCAAAGATATTCTCTGTGTTCCAAAAATTGGTGGGGGAATAACTACAAGGAGAGATAAAGGCTGATATAGTGGGAACTGGTGGCTTGGGTTCAAAGGAAGCAGAGGAAAAGTAAATGCACTGCTTGGAACTCTGCTATTTGATTGTTAGAGAGAATGCAGTGATGTCTCCAAGGGAAGCTGTAGCCAGGGCTAGTACAGGACCAGAGGGACCTCTGGGGCTCATAGTATAAGTGACCACGGCCTAATATTCTGCAGATCATTCTGGTATATTCCAGCATTCTGAGGCTTGTACCTTCATTGCCAAGATCCCAAGGTAGAGGCAAAGTTCTGAAGCCGCATGCTTTAGAAAGCTGACTGAAATTCCTGGCTGCTGAGCAGTCTTTCCCTCTGAACGCTGATCAAGAAGGGAATCAATTTTCCCTTTACTCTCCTCTGAAATGGTCTCTTTGTTTACTTGGAATGTTGGAACTCAGGTGCCCAGCTCATCCAGGTTTACCTAGTACTTCCCTGATTTTAGCACTGAAGTCTTGACGTGGAAACCCCTTGGTTCCCAGGCAAACTGGAGTAAATAGTCATTCTAAGGAAATGAGAGCCAGGTGAATAGACTGACACCACAAAAGTTAGTGGCTTAAAACAACTACCAATTTATTTGTTCACCATTCCATACTCTGGGCTGGGATCAGCTGGGCAGATCTTCTATTGGTCTTGCTAAGATTATTTGTATGGCTGCATTCAGCCAGTCAGTTGGCTAGAGGCTGGGCTCAGCTGGGATACAAGGACATCTGGGCCATGTTCCCTGTGCAAGTAGCCTTTCCGTGTGCATCTAAGAAGCTTTTTACATCAGGGAAGCTGAACTTCCACATGGATGCACAGGGCTCCTCAGAGTGCAAAACCTGCTTACTTTCTTAGGCTTAGGACTAGGCCTGGGAATGGCACAGTGTAACTCCACCATATCTTTTGGTAAAAGCCAGTCACAGTGTCATTCTTGAATCAAGGTGGGGGACCACACAAGACCACACAAGAAGTGAATTACTGGGGCAGTTCAGAGAGGGTTACCAATGTAATAGTCTACTCCAGAGGTACAGATGCTCACATAGACTCCTTGGTGCCTGATTCACTCTAACCTCTTTGCTGGGCATCTTTCTTATTATCCTCACACAATCAGATAGAACAGAATATGAATAGATTGACTATTGATCAGAATCTTCAAAACTCTATGCAGGAGTAAGACAAGTTTATCCCGATTATATTTACTCCTGCTAAGCATATATAGGAGGGTGCCTCCCTGTTTAGGTTTCCAGGAGGTTTGCAAGGAGCAACAGGTTAGGAGGCCTGGGTCTTACAATGTTGATGTGAGGTAATAAATGGCCCGACTCAACATTTCTTGGGGAGTGAGTGCCTATGCCAAGGTTTCTCTCTGCTCAGGGCAGAAATTACAAAGATTACCAAAGCACAGCACTGGCTCAAGGTAGCTGACCCTTCTTAACATGGAATCTTCCCACCCATGCCCCAGGTCTTGTCTTAAGGTTAAAGCAGTGTCAGCACAGGTCCTTCCCTCCTTTCCTCGGGACCTGCCACTCTACTGCAGCTCTCACCGCTGCACTGACCAGGTTCCCTAGTCAGCTTTCCTGAGCAGTGAGCATCCCTGTAAGACAAGGCTCACTCCTACCTGAACACAGCCAAGGTGAGGAGTGCACTCTCTGCCTCAGGGTGGTCCACCGGGCACTCCCAGTAGACCAGACCAGCCCCTCCACTTCAGATCAGGTCCAATCCTACTTGCTCCCACATCCCTCAGCCTTTTCCTTCCCTCTTCTCCCCCCCACCCCCCGCCCTTTCTGATTTGCTTTCCCCCTACACAAACTCGGCCTTAAAAAGAATCCTTGAGCTGCCTCCAGGGTTCTGGATCTGCTGCTAGCTTTCTCCTCCAGGACTTCTCCTCCATCACTGTGGTTACTATCTGGCTATTCTGACTTCTGGCTCCCTCCCTCTCTTTTTCTCACCACACTGGCGAGTGTTGCCTCCGCTCTGTCGCTTTAAGCCTGTTCCACACCGCCGCGCCCCTACATCGCTCCGGAGCTCCGCTGCACCTCGCCACCTCTCCTGCTGCTCCTCCTCTCCCGCTGCTCTTCACCTGCTCCTCACCTGCTCCTCCTCACCCGCTCTACCTCCTCTCCTGCTCCTCCTCTCCCACTGCTCTTCACCCGCTCTTCTTCGCTGCTGCCGGCCCAGCTCCCGATCCGCGTCTTGCAGCCTCTGTGGACCCGCCACCATGGCCGACATCAAGACTGGCATTTTCGCCAAGAACGTCCAGAAACGACTCAACCGCGCGCAGGAAAAGGTCAGAAGCGGGCGGCAGTGCAGGTGGCGGGACGGGACGGCGGAGGCCTAGAGGGCCAGAGGAGCGAAGGAGGCCTGTCGTTAGGGGTGCAGGGCCGGCCAGGGTCGCGCCCTTTGGCACGGCGAGTGCTGCTCGGCGGCACTGCGGACGGAGGTGGCCCGGAGGCAGGAAGCTAGCGGAACTCCGACCCGGTCCCAGGAGGCGCAGGGTCTGCGGAGGCTCCTGCTCCCTCTCCCCCTGCGCAGCTGGCAGCGCAGTCCGCTCTCCAGGCTGGCTCCCGGCCTGAGCAGTCGAGAGTGCGGCGGGTCGCCGGCTGTCCCCGGGCTGAGCGCACCTGCCTCCGGGCGCCCATTCCGCGGTCTCCGCAGGGGACTGTTAGGGAGGCGCCCGCAGGTTCGGGCGGGAGATTTCGGCAGCGGTTCTTCCTCTGAGGGTATTTTCTGGCTACGTGAGTGCAGCAGAAACAGTTTAGCACAGAAGGTACTCCCCAAATCTCTGTTTTCATCAACAGAACTGATCGCGAAAACCAGCAGCTTTAATACAGTGCTGTGCAGTGAATCCTGGAGTTCAAAACAGATATCTACATACACAGTTTTTTTTGTTGTTGTTTTGTTTTGCTGTCTTGCTTTGGGCTGTCTCTGTGTGCCCCCTTTTGATGCAAATGCCCTTCTCTGGAAGGTCAAAACTAAATATGACCTGAACCTTACAGTTCTTCTCTGAACATTTTTGTACAAAGGATGGGGCTTCACTGCTTTAAAAAAAATCATGTTGCACGAGTTGGGTTCGCTGTTGTTTTACGAGCCCCTCTGTCAATTGGCCACAGTGATTTATTTTTCTCACCCAGAAACGCGCACAGATGGATCCCAGATCCATACCGCACAGCCCTGAGCAGTTGGAGAGAGATCGTACTAGGCACGGGGCTGGCCTGGCTGCCCAGAGACTGCTTGTCATGAAGACCTTGCTGGCATTGAGGTCCTCATTTGTGTTCTGAGCAAAGGACATTCTGCACAAAAGGTAGTTTGAGTGCTGTACTTGGAAAAGGACACCAACTAATGAGCTTCATGGTTTGTATCAGTCCAACTGTGTTCTCTTCTACGTGGCAGGATTTTCCATCCCTGGGATACTGGGTTTTACTGGTACTTTCCTATTTTACTGGTAGTCAGATTTGCAGTCGCTCACTAGGACAGTGAATTTTCCTCTCCCCAGGCTCAGGCTGCCCTCCACTCTTGCTGACCTAGAAGCTGAGCTGAATGGGGCACGGGTCCCTTTGCCTGTGTGCAGGCTGAGAGACTGGGTCCCTCCCTTCACACGGCACACTCTCAATGCAGTAAGAGGATTGGATTTCTTTTAATATCTACCCAAGCTCATCCTAAACTAACATGATCCTCTCCCACCACTCCTTCAGCAGTTGCATTAGCAAGGCTTCCTGCCTCATTCCAGTTCCTGATTACATGTCCAGAAAGTAGCCAGGATCTACTGGGATCTGAACCAGGTTTTGTCATCATTTTTTCATACTTCATTTTACCCACTTGTAGGTATTCTCTCCCTCACTCCAAGTAATTACTTGAATCTTTGATTTGAAGCTTTTTACTGAATCCACTTCCATGTGTGAATGAATTTAGTGGTGCAGCCTGCTTTTCACATATTATTTCTTAATCTAGGTCACCAGCTGTTAATATGCCAAAAATAAATGAAAAGAAAATATAATCTATCTTACACAATATTCAAACCCTTATGAATTGTTGAAAACTCAGTTTTTAATTATTAAGTCCAAGTGTGTATTATGATTGCAGCTGTGGATGGTGCTCACTCTTTTACAGGAGTGGGGGCGGGGTCTAAGGGAGCCTTGCTTGCACAGGGCTTCAAGTGTCCTTATTTCCTTTCATGGTGAAAGTTGCTGATGAAAAATGCCTGTTGCACTTAGTTTTAGGAGGTTAAGACACCAAGAGGCTGAGAGTGTGGATTCTGCCGTGGGAAAGTTCTGAGCCCATCCCAAGCCTGTGCAACACAAAGGGAAGGGTTGTGTGGGAATCCACATAATGTTGTTCACCTAAGCCCAAAGGAAGCTAGCTACTGGAGAACGGAAAGCACAGTATGCTGCAGGCTTCATTAGCAATCACCCCCAGTGATTCCTTCTTTTTGCATTTTTTGGCCTCTTCCTCTTCTCCAAAGCACAGACACTTCATTGCAATAACTACATGCCACATATGTTCTCGAAAGTCTTTCTTTTTGCTTTTACAACCAAATTTTCTAAAAAGAGAGTCCATTCCCTTGACTTTCCCATTATCTGTGCTCTAACAGCTTGCATAATTTTGGCTTCAAATGAAAGAGTGAAACTACTCTGAGAGGTGACTTACGGCTTTTTATGAATTTAAAATATGTTTTTTTCTTATTAAAAATCTGTAAAGCTTCAGTGGAGATAGAATTAAATATATGTATAAGCTAAAAAAACCTTCACAAAATTAGATCATTCATAATTCCACCACCCAGAAATTTCACTATCATTTGATCTGTATCCTAGTAGATCTTTTTACGTATGTATATTTACAAAATTAAAATATAAACTTATACTACAATAGTTTCCTCTTATCCTTGATTTTGCTTTCTGTGGTGTCAGTTACCCACAGTCTGAAAATATTATGGAAAATTCCAGAAATAATTTATAAATTTTATATTGTATGCCATTGTGGATGTCATGATAAAATCTCATCCTCTGTTCTGTCTTCCCTGTGATGTGAACCATCCGTTTGTCTAGCATCTCAACCTGTATACATGGTATCACGGTGTTTGTTTTCAAGTAAACTGCATCATCTGAAAGTCAGTAGTAGCCTAATACTATGTCAGTGCCCACGTCATTCACCTTACTTCATCTCATCTTGTAGGCTATACATCATCTCACATCATCACAAGAAGAGGAAGAGTGAGTACAATACCATAAGATATTCTGAGAGAGATCACATTCCATAACTTTTATTATAGTATATTGTTATAATTGTTCTAATTTAGTTTTTTTGTTGTTTATCTCTTGCTGTACCTAACTTATAAGTTAAAATTTTTCATTGATATATATGTATAGAAAAAAACATAGTGTGTATGGGGTTTGGTATTACCTGGTTTCAGGCATCCATTAGGGGTCTTGGAATGTATCCCCAATGAATAAGGGGGGGATGCTATATATGATTTTATAATCTGTTTATTTCATTTAATAATCATGAACATCTTCAGTACATGTATTTTTTTCAATCAACATTTTAAATGACTGAATAGTATTGGAATGTATGGATTTTAATGAATCCCCTATATTTTGGACATTCTGTGTTCAATTTTCCTGTTTATAAGTACAGATCAGTGAGAAAACTTGCAAGGAAAATGTCCCCATGCACCTTTAAGTATTTCCTAGAAGAATTATTGTTTCAAAGGTACACTTATTTTTATTATAGCTAGATTGCCTTTCAGAGAGCTTGTATAATTTATATTCTTACCAACAGTCAATGAGAAAGTTGCCAACACTGGATAATAATTTAAAACGGTCTTTAGGTATGTCATTGGAAAAAAATTAGTTTCTATTTATTTTATTTGTTTGAATTTTGGAAACTGAAAATTAATTTTTGCATTTCTATATTTTTCATTTGCTAACTGTGTTTATATTTTTGCCCATTTTGTGTAGTACCTCCTTGTTATTTGTAAGGGCAAAACCATATCAGTCCTAAAAGTTGTAAACATTCTTTCTTCCTTTTCTATCTACTGTTTAATTCTTTAAAAGATTATTTATTCCTTATTTATTTTTAGAAAGAGGGGAAGGGAGGGAGCGAGAGAAGGAGAGAGACATCAGTGTGTGGTTGCCTCTCTCACGCCCCCTGCTGGGGACCTGGCCTGCAACCCAGGCATGTGCCCTGACTGGGAATCGAACCAACAACCTTTTGGTTTATAGGCTGGCACTCAGTCCACTGAACCACATCAGCCAGGGCTACTGTTTAATTTTTTGATGATTTTTTTCCTGATATAGAGAATGTTTATGTTTTATGTATATTTGCTTAAATCTATTTAATGATTTTGTGTGGTTTTCATGTGTGCAGAATTAGTCAGAATCCTGCCACTTGTAAGTATCAGACAATTCAATTCAAACTGGTTTAAGGAAAAAAGGGAATTTTATTGCTAAAAACAAAAATGTGAATTTGCGCCATAAATTTAAATGAGAATTTAATATATAAATAAACATTTGTATTAAGCTATATACATATATTCTTATATATATGTGCCTTTAAAATATATGCTTGTGTACTATATACACTCATATATTAACTCACTTGATTCTCTGAGGGAGGTACTATTACCATCTCATTTTATAGATAAGGAAGAAATTAAGTAACGTGCCCAAAGTCACATAGTAAGTAGTAAAGCCAAAGTTTGAACCTAAGTAGTACAATGCTTGGATTGCATTACACAATGCTGCCTCTTATACTTATGAAAAGGGCAGGGATAGACAAACTTCAGGCCTGTATGGAACCAGGGCCTCAACCACAGATATCAGGTCTCAAGGGACTTCTCCCATATCTCATCTCTGCTGTTCACCCTGTCAGCCCCATTCTTGGGCAAATAATTCTCTCTTGATGGCAAGATGGTTGCCAGAAGTTCTAAGTAAGAGAATGTCTATACAGGGAGCTCCTCTGTATAGTCCTTATTGGCCCAAATTGGGCCTTGTGACTATGCCTGGAAGAAAAAATCTCTCTGGATGAGGGCCAGGCCCATGGGTTGGATTGGGCTTGAGTCACAAGATACTACTGAAGCTGAGATGGAGAAATTCCTTCTGGACTACATGGACTGATGGTGAAGGGGGAAGGAAAATCAGAATATAGAGTTTATTGCACTGGCAAACTAAAAGATGTTACTGAGTCATACTTAAAAGACCTTCTCTGCTTCATGTTTAATAACTAGTCACATATTTAATAATTTATAATTTAATATTTAAAATTTCCTCATCAAATTAATATATACACAGT